TCAGCAGGCAGAAAGCAACACAGCAGAGGAGCTGAGGATGTAGCTTTGCTCCTGGAAGGGTTAGTTGTCTACTGGGAAGGAGGGAGATTTGTACAGCCCCACTCTTTCAGTTGTATGTATACAATCTAACTGGGCAGCTCTCAAACCTTCTGACTTTTGGGGGAGGAGCTATGAAAAGTAGAGACCCGCCCATATTTCCCTTGGCTGTGCCTGACTAGGACGCACTGAATCTCCCTGGTGGTTTGCTTTCCTGAGTTTGTTACCTGGCCATAAGTTCCAGTTTATTCCTTCGGGAGTGGAAGAGCTTTTCCTGGAGGATCGGCAGATGAAGCAGATGAGTATCACAATACTGTCCTGTCTCAACCTCTCCTATCTTACCTCCCTCCCACCAATCACTCTTATAAAATAAATTGTGTCCCAATAAACACCGCACTTTTTCTGAGAAGGACATTTGTAGGCTTACAGGCACTCTGTTATTAACATTTAGCATTCAGGATAAGGTTTACAGGCATACTAACTGCAGTAGTACTGTTTCATTGCAAAGATTACATTCCAAGGTCATCGGGACAGAGACCTGTTTTCCTATACTTTGCCAACAGATAATGCTTTAAAAATAAATTCTTAATAATGTAAGGACGTGTCTGTCCATCTGTCTGTGGCAGGCATAACACAGCAGAAAGTAAAGATGGGAGGCTCATAACATCTAGAGCGGAAAATGAGGGGAATCTGAAGATCCTGGCCATGGTTAGGTCCTGAAACTCTGCTCTTTGCAAGTGGAATCAAAGGTTTAATTATGAGGAGCCAAGAGGGTGGAATCAGTACATGGAGGAAGGGTAGGAAACATCTTTCCAAAACAACCATGGCTTTAACAACTTCCCTGACCTATCAAGGGGAGTGTGGTTAGAGAGTGTCTTAGAGTCAATGAGACCCAAGTGCTGATCCCAACCGCACCATGGAAGCTTGCTTGGTGACCTTGGGCCAGTCACACACTCTCATCCTAGCATTCCTTTGAGGGTTATTGTTGTTGTGAGAATAAAATGGAAAACAAGAGGATGGAACCTGCACTGGGTCCACCTTCAGGAGGAAGGCAGCAGAGGCACAGAGAGTAGAATATACACAGTGACTCCTTTACTAGGTGGTGGTGGGGTGGGGGGGACTTCCTTGAGCTCTCAGTCCCTGTGGTCAAGCAGTTAGAGCATCTGCGAGACCAAGGCTCAAATCCTCAATCTGCTGTGGAAGCCTGGAGAGCGACCTTGGGCCAGGCACACAATCTCAGCCAGATCTAATTCACAGGATTGCAACTGTGGGGATAAAATGGAGGACTGGAGAATGGCATCAGCCCCTTTGGATCCACACTGGGGACAAGCGACGTCAGTCTGTAATGTGTCAAAGCTGATACTGGACCAAAAGGAATAATTTCAGAGGGATGACTGATGCTGTCTTCAATAAGAAAGGAGATCTTTCTGTAGGAACGGGAAAGGCACTCGTTATAAATCTGGTCCTGGCTTAAGTTTACAAAAAATAGTTCTTTCTATGGCTGTAACTTTTTTGACAGGAGACAGAACTGTCCATTCTGTATTCCAGTGTCCATTAAACACTGTGAGTGCGGCAAACTACAGGGCAGGCAACGGGGAGAGACCTCTGGACAAGAAAATGGATGGGCATCTTTGGGTGCATCTCCAGCTCCTTCTGCCTGTTAGGGAAAAATGAGGGGCCCTGGATTTCTCCTTCCCTCTTGTGGAGGGGGGGGACATTGGCATCTCTCCACTTCTGAGCCTGGTGCCCCTCCCTATCAGGAAATCCAGGGAAGGGGGCCAGGCACACACAGGAGACATTTTTCTACCAGCCCAGGGCCGCCGCCACCCGCAAGGTTTGCAGAAAAATCCAAGGAAGAAAATTGCAAATTCAATATGTTTAGGAAAGCCTGAGATCTTGTGAACCCCTGTTGTGATATCTAGACTTTCAGTTGGGAAGAGCAGCCGCCAGGAGAGCTCGGGAGGCAGGGGAGGAGATGCAAGACCTGCCTTGGTGTGACCCAGGTGGGTGGCTGGCAGGCAGAGGAGTTGGAGTAGTCATCCCCCCCCCAGCACTGCAGGCAGTCAGGGGGGAGGGGGAATGGGAGCTGCTGCTGCTGCTGCTGCCCCGTGCCATGGCTGGGTAAGCCAGACAGGTGGAGGCAGCAGCCCCGCAAGCGGGAGGGGGCAGGCAGGGGAGGGAGGGAGGGAAGGAAGGGGACCCACCGTTTCCCCCTCACCACAGCATCAATGAGGCAGGAGACGGCAACAGATTAGGTGGACAGGGTGGTGGTTCAGTGGTCAGCACAGAAAGCAGGGGGAGTAGGATGGGATTCCTCCCCTGCAAGTCTCATGGGGCCCCTGCTCGCTGTCACCAGATTTTCCTGAAATGTAGGTGACACATTAGTATGACTGTCACAGCTGAGAGCCAGTAAATTGCAATGCAGAGTGTGGTAGACTTGAACTGATGAGGCCTGGGTTCAGATTCTTGCTCAGCTGTAAGATGGTGGGACCTGAAGATCTCCCAGAATTCGGTCCCTCCCCTCCCCCGACCCCACCATCCCCAGCTCTGCACCCAAACTCTCCAGGACGAAGTTCACTAGGTCTTGGCCTAACTTCCCTTGTAGGTAAGGGTAGGGATAAAATAGGAGCACCCAGTTCCTTGGAAAGAAAAAGAGAGAAAGACGGTTGTGTGGATGAAAAGGGGCTATAATGATTTGAAGAGACACGGAAACAATAGGAAGAGAAACCTTGATGCAAACATAGCCCAGCCGGACCCTGGTTATGCAAATCCACCTCTGGATTTTTCTGTCCGAATGTAGAGTTGGGGATGGATCAAGTCAGTAAACGAAGGCACCCTCTGTGGCTTGTCTGGCAGTTACGGAATGGCTTCCCGCCCACTAAAATAAAACCCAATTCAAGCAGCAGAGTTTTCAACATAACATCACTTTATAATAAGCATAACATCTTTTCAGTTTCTGGTATAACTGAAACACAAGTGCTATGAACACAGCAACCTTGACAGGGACAGCATCTTCAGTGCCGGTCAGAAAGGGCTGGCTGAACACAGGCAAATCCTAACAGATGGTGCCCAGTAAAAAAAAGAGGATGCCCCAAATAGTAATGGGAAGATTCAGGGCCTCTTCTTCCTCTGTAGGGCCTGCAGTGGTTCCTCTAGTGCTTGAAGAGAATAGTGGTTGGAGAGGGTCTTGTTTGGAGCTCACCTTTAGAACAAGCCTGCTATTCTTTACAATGTGAAAAGTGTTACTGTCGCTTTCAGAAATAAGATACAAAGGGGTGGGGAGGAATGTTGGGCAGTGGAGGAAAAAAATGTCTCAATTTTACTCGTCAGTTTTGATGGCTGGAGACAGGAGAGGCCTTTACAGGACTAAAAAAAACCTGAGGCTCTTGAGAAATAATATTTTCTTATTGATGGTCCTGGCGTGAAGAAAAGGTCCTAAGAAGAGATTTTGAGGTGGCCTTTTCCATACACGTAAAAGAAGGGCAGGAGGGTCTCTCCAGGGAAGGAGGCTCCAGAGAACTCGTAGATCATGGCTGCTTGGTCAGCGTCAAAAAAGGCCACTCGCCCCCCAGCGTAGTTCAGGCACACTCGGATCCTCTTCGGCTCACCACTCAGGGTCAGAGGAGGGTAATGATCTTTTATGGAAGCCCTGTACGTCCCTGACCACTTCCCCACAGTCCAGAACCCTTCCTCAGGGCTAAAGGTGATGCGTCCCTTCCTCCTCACAGACTTTCTGGCCACCCCCACAAGCCATTTTTCCTCTCTTCCCACAAGGACTTCCCAGAAATGGCGGCCTGCTATGAATCCCTTACGGCCCAGCACAATAAAGTACTGCTCAAATCTCTCAGGATTGTTAGGCAGAGCCTGGTCTTTTTCTCCTTCTCTCACGCTTTTCTGACCCTCAGACAGGATGAGTCGCGGATGGGCCGTGTCTGGATCCAGAGTCACGTTTACTGTAGGGGAAAATGAGGAGTCAAGAAGAGAAACGGCATCAGCTGGGGGGGGATTTCACCCTCTGGCCTGTTCTGTTTCCTTCTCCTGCCAGTCATGACCTCCTCCCACCTCTTCTACCCTCTCCTTGGTTAACAGGCTCTCCTGCCTTCTCCTGTCCTTTAAAAGGCAGAAACACCACCACCAAATGAGCAATCTCTCTTATATATAAAAGCCAAATGGTGGTGGCTTCTGTCCTATGGGGTGGCACGATTGCATGCACTCCCTCAGCCATTGGCACGTCGGCTGCCAGTCAAAACTAAAGATGTAAAATGTCTGGAAATTTTGAAGCTCAGAAAATAACCCGGGTTTTTTCCAGTTTTTTCCCCGGGAAATAATGGAAATTTTCAGAAAAATTGAAAAAAAATGCTACATTAGCATTCTTTTGTCTTTTCTAGATTGAAAGTCATTCTGCTACTTTAGGAACATAAAATATGACTATGGACGTTTTTACTTGGCATGAAATTATCACAACTAGCATATTAAAAATATAGTGTATCCAAACAATTATTACAAACAGAATACCCACCCACATGCAAAAACAAAACTGAGACCTTTTAATTTTCTTCTGACAATAGCACCTCGTAAAGGAATAAATGCATCTTGTTCTTCCATTGGAGAGTTCAGTTTGTAACCTAGGACTTGCTTGTCCTCAGTGCACAGAAATTAGATTTAGCCACTTCACTGCTTACTCCCAACTCCAAATCATTAATGAACAAGTTAAAAAGCAGTGGACCAAGTACTGATCCCTGCGGTACCCCACTGCTTACCATCCTCCACTGAGAAAATTGCCCATTTATACTCACTCTCTGTTTTCTATTGATTAGCCAGTTTTTGACCCATAAAAGGACTTGTCCTTCTATCCCATGATTTTTGAGCTTACTTAGGAGCCTTTGATGAGGAACTTTATCAAAAGCTTTCTGGAAGTCAAGGTAAACAATATCTATTGGATCCCCCTTGTCCACATGTTTGTTCACCCCCTCAAAAAACACTAGCAGGTTAGTGAGACAAGATCTTCCCTTACAGAACCCATGCTGAGTCTGCCTCAATAGGTTTTGTTCATCTATGTGCCTACTAGTAATTCTTTCCTTAATAATGGTTTCCACCAATTTACCCGGTATCGACGTACTGATGTATTCCATAGACTAATATAATCAATGCAGTTAAGTTACAATATTGTTACAGACAATTTCACTTAGAATATTATCTGGAATAGAAGCTTGCAGCTGAGCAGAAAAGCTTCAGACGTTGTACAGAAATGAAGCAGCGCTAAACGCCCACAGACGTGCGACTGTCCAAAAATTATTAGGCAGAGAATTCAGCTACTGCCTGCCAAAGAATACAGCTGACGAAGCACATAAACGCTTATAAGCGCACAACTGTCCAAGTAAATTTTTAGGCAGAAAATCCAGTTATTGCCTCTCAAAGAATCCAGTGATGTGCCTCCAGATTAACAGCGCATTTTGGCAACTCTTCCTCAAAACCACAGTATACTACTTGCATCATGTGGAACTACTTGTACATTTATCAATAAAGAAATTAAATAAGACTATTGCTCCGTGGTTTTTTAAATTACGTATTCCACAAAAAATCAAACGTGTGCCATGTCTAAAAAGCAGCTCCTAGAATTAACATCCGGCCTGCGCTGAAGGCACTGCACTGGCTGCCAATAGCATATACCGAATCCTCTTCAAGGTGCTGGTACTTACCTTTAAGGCCCTATATGGCCAGGGTCCAACATACCTGAGGGACTATCTTTCCCCATATATACCCCAGAGAGCACTATGGTCTGGGTCACATCGATTGACCATCCCAGGCTGTAAGGATGCCAGGCTCGTGGCCACTAGAGCCAGGGCCTTTTCAGTGGTGGCTCCATACTGGTGGAATGAGCTCCCAGAAGAGATCAGGGCCCTGCGGGACCTCTTACAGTTCCGCAGGGCCTGCAAGAGGGAGCTCTTCCACCAGGCTTTTAATTAGGAGCCACTTCACCACTACCACCAACATCGGTGGTTATGGGCTGGCCCCAGCTTGAAGATTGAACCATACCATTGCGCAACGTCAAAGATCACTGAGTCAGAAATGGCTGCTTGAACACTATATAGTATGCCATCTTAATTACTGAAAGATGATTACTATCACTATCACTTTGATTATTTGATTATTTTAAATTTTTCAAATCTTTGTATATGGATTTTATGGTACTTGTACCGACTAATGTAAGCCGCCCTGAGCCTGTTCGTGGGGGAGGGCGGGATATAAATGGAATTAATAAAAATAAATAAAAATAAATGTTTGTGATTCCTGTCTTCTCCAGTATTCATCTCAACTCTGCTTCAAGCATATCCACCTTAAATCCAAAAGCTTGTTTGATTAGTGACAGTTGGTGTTAATGCTATCATTAATTTTAAGGGGGCAGACCCATTCATGTAACTTGAATAGAACATATATTAGGTCATATAAAAGAAAAGAAATCCAAGTTAAGATTAAGACCATGAGGCATATAGGTACAAAGTTTAAAAATCCAGTATGCCTCCAGTCTGAGCAATGCCTTAGAACCATTGGAAAGATTTTAAGGGTGCGATAAATATCTATACATTACACAAAATTGCAAATCATCTGGTGAGTGTTGTATTTCAAGAAAATATACAACCATGGGGGCTTCCATAACCTGGTTGCAGACCCTAGATTTATGTTCTAGGATCCTCATTTTTACAGCCTTTATGTATATCAGGTCACATGGAAATTTTACACAACCCATTATGTATTGCAATTAGAAAAATGATGAACCATAATTACAAAACCACTGGTTGGATTTAGAAACATTTCAAGAGAAAGTAACTTCATAAGAACATAAGAGAAGCCAATGTTGGATCAGGCCAATGGCCCATCCATCCCAACACTCACAGTGGCCAAAACCGAGGTGCCATCAGGAGGTCCAGCAGCAGGGCCAGAACTCCAGAAGTCCTCCCACTGTTGCCCCGCAAGTACCAAGAATACAGAGCATCATTGGCCCAGACAGTGTGCCACCTATACCTTGTGGCTAATAGTCACTGATGGATCTTTGCTCCATATGTTTTTCTAATCCCCTCTTGAAGCTCTCTATGCTTGTTCCCACCACCACCTCCTGCGGCAGTGAATTCCACTTGTTAATTACTCTTTGGGTGAAGAAGTACTTCCTTTTACCTTTCTAAGCCTACTGCTCCTTAATTTTATTGAGTTCCCAAGAGTTGTTGTATTGTGAGAAAGGGAGGAAAGTACTTCTTTCTCTACCTTCTCTATCCCATGTATAATTTTGTCACCCCTCAATTGACATTTCCCCAAGCTAAAAGCCCTAACTTCTTTAGCTTTTCTTCATACGCCTTTTCCGTACCTTGCCCTTTTCCGCACCTTTTCCAATACTATCTTTTCTGAGTAACGGTGACCAGAACTGTATACAGTATTCCAACTGAGGCCACACCACAGATTTCTATGGGGGCATTATGATACTGGCTGATTTGTTTTCAGTCCCCTTCCTAATCATCCCCAGCATAGCCTTTGACTCTTTTATAGCAGTTGCACACTCCGTCAACATCTTCACTGAGCTACCTACCACGACTCCAAGATGTCTCTCCTGGTCAGTTACCACCAGTTCAGACCCAATCAAGTATACTTATACTTATTTTGCACTTGCCCACATTGAACCTCATTTGCCATGTTGATGCCCACTCGCCCAGCCTTGACAAATCCCTCTGGAGCGCCTCACAGACCTCCCTGCTTCTCACCACCCTGAACAACTTTAACAACTTTCATCTTTAGTAGGCCACAGCCTGAACCCCTGTTCAAAATTTGAAGAAGAAACTGCTTAAGAAAGACCAGTTTCTTGACAGTGATATCCAGCCAGATGAAGACCTCTGGTTTCCTCAAAATCTTACACAATGTTTTGTGTCAGTTTAGTTGTTCCTAATGAAAGGTAGCACATGGATTTTCTCCTCGTTTGGTGGTTTTGCATGGCCCTCCAGGGATGTACAAATTTTCTTCTGTATCCCAGGAATCACCTATCTACTCTACCCAACCTTTAATTATCTGCTTTAAAAAACAAACATCCCTCTTCTCATGTCATTCAAGGTGTTTCCTAGAAAACAAAATCAAAAGCACCCCACTAACAGTTTCTGTGCTTCACAGCATAGATAACTTGGTGGAAAGGAAACAGAATTTGCATTCCCTTGATACTCTCTGGGTCTACTAGAGAGACGAAAAAGAAGAGGTTTTTATACCTTGCTTTCCTCTCCCTGGAGGAGTCTCAAAGTGACTTACAATTGCCTTTCCTTTGTGAGGTAGGTGGGGCTGAGAGAGCTCTGAAAGAACTGGGACTGGCCCAAGGTCACCCAGCAGGCTTCCTGTGGAGCAGGAGTGGGGAATCAAACCCAACTCTCCACATAAAAGTCTGCAGGTCTTCAGTGCTGCACCACACTGGTTCTCTTCTAGAGAGACCCAGGTGCTCTAATGGTGGTTTCCACATAGCGAAGGAAGTGCATGGTCTCCCTATAATCGGTGCGGCTGCTGATAAAGCGTAGCAACAACAGGGCTTCTGCAAACAGGAAAATCCACTTAGAGAAAGCAGGCACCCAACGGGGTCTGTGCCTCTCGGGGGGGGGGGGATTCTCAAAGGCCTTCAAGTGCTCTTGCCCAGCAGCCCTTCTCCCATCATTTCAATATGGCGGCAGATGGGGTCAAAGGAGGCCGTTAATCCCACTCAGAGGCCCCCTCCTCTGCCCCTTTACAGGTCTCCTCAGAACAAGAAGGAACCGGCTGTGGCGGGGAGGGGGAGGGTTTGAGGAACAGAACAAGGAGTGTTCAGTAATGTTATCTCTGGAAAAACATCAAGTAGTAAAGCACAAGTTGTAAAGTGACACTTTTAAATTTAGAAATAATTGATTAGTGTATGAAGAGAAATGTACCTTTCTGCAAGTGAAGTCCAGAATCCAGAGCGTCTGAGGAAGCAAAGGAACAGAAGAAGAAGAAGAAGAGAAGAAGAGATTGGATTTATACCCCTTCACTACCCGAAGGAGTCTCAGAGCGTCTTACAAACTCCTTTCCCTTCCCCTCCCCACAGCAGACACCCTGTGAGGTAGGTGGGGCTGAGAGAGCTCTGACAGAAACTGCTCTTTTTCAAGGACAGCTCTTATCAGAGCTACGGCTTGCCCAAGGTCATCCAGCCAGGTGCAAGTGGAGGAGTGGGGAATCAAACCCGGTTCTCCCAGATTAGAGTCCGCGCACTTAACCACTACACCAAACAGACCCTTGTGCTTATCACAAATCTTAGGACAAAAATATCACTGAACAATACTGTCTATTTTCTCTTGGGGAGGGTAGGCGGCATGGTATATAGCCCAAGGGTGGCCAAACTGTGGCTCGGGAGCTGCATGCGGCTCTTTCACATATATTGTGCGGCTGGGGAAGTGAAAGGGAGGCATGCATTCTTAAAGACACCCCCACCCCCACCAGCTGGCTTGAAGAAGGCATTTGTCTCTTTAAATCCCTTCTCCAAGCCAAGCCATCTGGGTGTGGGGATCTTGGAAGATGCATTTAAAGTTAAAGTTGCTTTCTTTCCACCTCTCCGTCCCTCCCTCCCTCCCCATCTATTGGCTTTCTTTCCACTTTCTACCTTCCTTTCTCTCTCTCTCCCCTCCCTCTTCATCTAAAGTTAAATATCATTATCAATATCTGTTTTTACCCCTTTTGTTTTTATTTTTGGCAGTCTCGTGTAATGTTAATAAAAAGCAAATTTGCATATTTTCCAATAAAAACGTGTGGGTTATATTTGTTCATGTCCTGTGGCTCTCAAACATCTGATGTTTATTCTGTGTGGCTCTTACGTTAAGCAAGTTTGGCCACCCCTGGTATAGCCCAATCTTGTCAGATCTCGGAAGCTAAGCTGGGTCGGTACTTGGATGGGAGAGCAAAGAAGACTCTGCAGAGGAAGGCAGTGGGCAAACCATTTCTTTCTCACTTACCTTGAACACCTCTTCCTGGGGTCACAATAAGTCACTTGTGTCTTCATGGTGCATACATATTTCTTCTGAGTTACAGCCGAAAGGTTAAGTAGAAGCTACCTCTTGGGAAAAATTTATTCATGTGCAAATATTCAATTTTTCTCCCCACAAGTCACTTTGAGTAACTTGAGATCCACTTCATGGAAAGTATGCTAAGGTGTGTGGCACAAGGGTCCATTCCGGCTAAACTTAGGATGTTTCCAGACAGAGGTTCCACAGTGCCATCCTGAACAGAGTCACACCCTTGAAAGCTCACTGATTGCAATGGACTTAGAAGGGGGTAACTCTGCTTAAGACAGCGGAGTCGGTCCCCTTAAGACCATCCTGTAGGCTCAGCTGGGACATATTCAAGCAAACACACAAACACAATCAAAGGGACCAGTTTTGATCAGTCCGATTTGACCACCAGATACATTGCAAAGAGAACTGGGTTGAGATGTCCCTGAAAGGGACTGGGTGGGTGTCTCTATTAAATGTGAATTCCCTGGAGGGCGGTTTCCTCCCCCCTCCCTATCGTTTTAGGTGCTTGTTTGACCATCTACCTCCCAGTTTGCCTTTGCGTGGTCACAGTAATGACTGGAGATCAGCAACAGAGACTAATTTTGAGAAATCCACATAAGGCAATTCTGAGCTAGAGCTACAGGAGAATTCTGTCCACAAAACTTTACATGGGGAACTAAAATGGCCTTCTGAATTGGTACGTAAATTCCCTGCATTCCTGGGTCTGCTAATGATATAAGCAGCCTGGAGCAGACTAAAGCACACACCTGGCCCACTCTAATGTCTGGTCTGAAATCCCTGCAGTGTTCCTCCATTACCTTTGAGTTGCTTCTTGATGCCCTCCAAAAGGAGATTTAAATCCGAGAAGTCCCAGATACGCCACTTCACTGCAAGAGGAAAAGCCGCTGGATTCTCACACGACTCCCTTTTTTCATACCTGGAGAAAATCATGTAAAGGTACCATCCATCCAATTCAGAATATGCACCCCCCCCGGTAGATTAGAAAAACAGATAATGGAATAGGTAGAAAGTATAGAGAAAGTCTAGAGACACAGCCTCCACCTCACTGAAGTTCCTACTTTGTTAAGAACTGGGCCTGGGTTCCACACAGCCACACAGCAGTTGCAGGGAATGGCTGCCACAAGACAAAACCCTTGTGGGCTCAGATTGCCTCCATGTTAGGGGGAGCTCCTGCCCCCTGCCAGCCTGTTTTGCACGCTGAAATAGCACTGGGGAGGTTATCTGCCCATTTTTGCTGCTCCTTGTGGAGTATTTTGTGCAAAAACAGGGAAAGTCCCTGCCCCCAGCACTGTCTTGTCATGAAACAATGACTCGGGGAAGGGGAGGCAGGAGCCCTTCCTCTCCCACAGCAGCAATTGAGCCCTGAACGGGGTCTGCTTTAAAAAAAAAAAAAAATACCCCTACCCTGCAGCTGCCGTGTGGCACTACAGAGCCCAGGCCAACCTCTTAAAAAACCAAACATCTAGTTAGGCCCCAAGAACAGCCACCCCACATCCCCTGCTCCTACCTGTCTTGCAAATGTCTGTGTAAAGAAAAAGAAAGCTGGGGAGAGCTTGGGACCAGGGCTGGAAGACCCTGGTTCAATCCCACTCTCAGGCACGCTTTCTCTCAGACAGGGTTGTTGTGAGGAGAAAATGGAAGAGGTCAAAATCAAGAACATCGCTCCCTGGGTGACCTCAAACCAGTCTCTCTTTCTCTCTCAGAAAGGGTTCTTGTGAGGAGAAAATGGAGGAGGGCAGAATCAGGTACATCATCACCTGGATGTCTTTTCTCCCCTCTCCCATAGTACTAGAAGAACTAAGGGGTACCCAACAAAGTTGTTGAGAATTGACTGTAGGCTGAGGTAGTGACTGATGGCCACCAGCACAGAGAGCTTTAAAAAGGGGATTAGACAGATTCATGGAGGAGGGGCCCATCAGGGACTCAAGGGAGCCCCCCCATATCCAGAGGCAGCAAACCTCTGAGCACCAGGGCCAGGAGCAGGGGAGGGCCTCGGCTACTCTGCTCATTTTGATTGGCCCTCCAGGACAACTGGGTGGCCACTGCATGAAACAGGATGCTGGCCGAGATGGACCACAGGTCTCATCCAACAGGCTTTTCTTAGGTTCTTGAGAGTGTGGCGGATACATAAAGGAATAAAACATATCACATGACACCACTGTACCCAGATACGCCCATTCTTCTGTTCCTTTTAATAATTTCCCACTTGTGGGGGGAGGGGCATGGACATTTGAGCCCAATAAAGTCACATGACAATTCTTCATCTCAGTCTATCTGCGGGAAGGTATAGGAAAAATATGACGTTTCTGATCAACAGCCGTGTATTCCCTATGATGGGTTGCTCTGCTGGAGAACACTTTCTTTTGAGAGCGCTGCTGTTTCTGGGGCTGCCAACTCAGTGCCGTGTGGTGGCAGGAACACTGATGTAAACATGGCACACACTCCAGCTCCTGCTTTCTTGTCTACACTCCTTAACATGTGAAGCACATCAGATACGGTTGGGCTGTCATCGCAGTGCTGTCAGTAAAATGCCAGCGTAGCCAGTCCCAATGCCAACCAAGGCATTATTTGGGCCAAGTAAAGTTTACCACCTCCCATTTTGTGGAATGAAGGTAGCTCACGAGTCAAGAACTATTTTGTAAAAATGTTGCTTTGGCAGCACCTACTGTCGCCACAACACAAGGATCCTCACTGTGCAACTGAAGGTAAGCCGCAACAGCCATTTTGTGGATGGCACCACCTCCTGTGACTGTGCCCACCACACCCCATCAGAACTGCAAAGGTACCTGCAGCCTCAGAAAGGCTGGGAGACCCTTGTTCTGGAGATAAACACCAAAGTGTCAGGCCAGACCACCCCCCCATTTCAGTACGCGATTGCCCATTGATAAGGCTCTGTGGACTGACAGACGGATGGAGATCCACGCTCATAGTTAAGAACATAAGAACATAAGAGACGCCAATGTTGGATCAGGCCAAAGGCCCATCCAGTCCAACACTCTGTGTCACACAGTGGCCAGAAATACCAGGAGCCATCAGGAGGTCCACCCGTGGGGCCAGGACATTAGAAGCCCTCCCACTGTTGACCCCCCCAAGCCCTCCCACTGTTGACCCCCCCCCAAGTTACACCTGATTTGGCCCGCAGCCGTGATCCAGAAGGACCATGTTCCTCACCAGCTTCCCAGTCCAATCCCAGCAATAAGAAGGTTAAAGCTAAAGGTCCACTTACCTCTGCAAGGTGCTTCTGGCATCCTAAAGAAGAAAGGCAGAGAGAGAAAGAAGAGACCTCAATGCCTGCTAAAAAACCCAGGAAGACCCCCTCAGACCCTGGAACATTCTGCACTCTGGCCTTTTGCTTGCGTCCAGCTAGCCGACTTCACTCAGAGACTGGGGAAGATCTTCATAAAGTGTGAGAAAACCTCTGTGAGGTTACTATCAGCAGACAAAGCCGAGCCATTTCAGAGCAGAGCTGGGTGATCTCCTTTGACAACTCAGCAGTGGTGACTCTCACAAAGGATTTTTCCCTCACACGGAAAGCAGGAGGCCCTCAGATTAGGGTGTGCCCCCCTTTTGGCTCCCTGCAGACACAGAGGCATTCCCAGCAACTAGCCCTGTAACAACGTACTTTCATTTTTTAACAAAAAAGTCCTTATTGTCGCAGCGCTATAACTGGAAATGTGAAGACTGCCCTTTCTTTAAAATAAGAGCCAGGGATTAGTGCAGCAGATTACAATGTCACAATGCCGTAGTAACCTAGTGTCAGATTCCTGGGCAAGCAACTCTCAATCACACTCTCATTGGCAGTGAGAAGCTTCATTGAGAACAAGGCAAGTTCCAGCTGTAACACAACTGTGTCAGTTCTGAGCATTTTTGCACGTACAAGCAAGATACAGGTAATTCACATCTTTGGTGATATAGGTAATTCAAACGTTTGGTGTAGTGGTTAAGTGCGCGGACTCTAATCTGAGAGAAGCGGGTTTGATTCCCCACTCCTCCACTCGCAGCTGCTGGATGACCTTGGGCAAGCCACAATTCTGACAAGAGCTGTCCTTGAAAGGGCAGTTTCTGTCAGAGGTCTCTCAGCCCCACCTACCTCACAGGGTGTCTGTTGTAGGGAGGGGAAGGGAAAGGAATTTGTAAGGTGCTCTGAGACGCTGAGTGAAGGGCGGGGTATAAATCCAATCTCCTCCTCCTCTCCCCTCCTCCTAATCCCACACACATGTCACCCAGCCTGGCGTTAACCGTCCTACCCTCTTTTCACATGGGAATATATGGACCCCTTATCTCAAGCAAGCTAGTACTAAGAAGCGCCAAGGACATCTCCGTGTAGGAGAGGCTGTGGCTTGAGTGGTGAAATAGGTTTTGCCTCTAAGACAGAGCCAGCACTCACACATCACTCATACCCCCACCTGAGGAATTCCCCTCCCCTCAATATCTATGGCAAACTGCAAAGCAGAGCAGAGCAAGGTTTGACATCTAGCCACTGCCCTTCTCTTCAAAACCTGAGAAAAGCCCAGACATGGGGGGAGGATGGTGCCCCCGGGGAATGAGAGAAGGGGAGCCAAACTCTGTCACCTTTCAGCTGTAAAAAATCTTCCACGTGACCCACGTTCCTGGTTTTTCTTTTTGAAAGAGGTACCCGTGAACCTGGCTTTACAATCAAGTGAGACGCAAACACACTTTGGCTTCTGAGATGGAAGTTGAGTGGCCTCAGTCTATCAGGCAGGGGGCTGGGGGGGGGGAAATGATGCATTTCCAGGGGGTGGAGTTTCACAGGGCTCCTGGGATTGTCCAGTCTGCCCCTGGCTGGAGTTGTAAAGGCACAGAGGGGAAAGCTGCGGAGGTGGAAACCTGCTAGCAACATAAACAGGGCTTGTTTGCTTTTCTGCTAAGCGGAGGAGGCATAGAAAGGGCTTGGAGCCAGCCTCCTCCCCAAGGGGAGCCTGGGCTGTTCCCGCCACCCCCTCACCTGCAGGAGATCTCTGGCCGACTGCTGACACTTCTCCTCCATCTCCTGGATGAGGCTTTCCAGAGAGGAGAGCGCCTCAGAGAGTCTGGCCACACGCTGGTCCCTGTTTCTTGCCACCTCCTTCTCCACCTCTTCCATCTGGGCCAGCAAAAGTTTCTCTTGTTCCTCCAGAAATTCATGCAGTTGCCTGAACTTTGCTACTGTCTCTTCCTTCTCTCCTTTGGTTTGCTTCTGAAATAGAAAGAGAAGGAAAGGAGGCCCAGCGTCAGGAACACAGCCGGTCTTTGTAGTGGGAAGAGAACACTTGAGGAGGCTCCTATCGGAAGGGCACTTTTTGCCTTCCACAGAGATCACAATTAACATTCGGCAGGGGAAGAGGCAGACTCGCCAGGACCCAGCCTCCGGGCCAAAGGACACAAGGATCTCCCTCCAGCTCCCGGAGGGGCTCTTTCAGCCACAGAGGATTAAGGCTGCAGCAGAAGACCCAGAGTGCAGGAGGGGCTTCCTCAGTCCGTTTGTCCCCCCACTAAAACACCCTCCAGAGGTTGACTCCCCCAGTTCCCCTCAGGGGACGAGACAGGAAGGTTGAGTAGAAACACCCCTGGGGGCCAAAGAGCTCAGAAGCCCCTTCCACTCGCTTGGCCTCCCAATCTAAACTGCAGCTCCCCTGGCTGCATTCTTGGCAAGAAAAAATTGTATGTGTGTGTGTGTGTGGGGGGGGGAATCTACACACTACCGAGCATCCCAAGTACTTTCCCCCCTTAGAATCATCATCTATGGCTGAACCCCACTTGGCTCAATTCACTTGGCTCCATTCAGCATCAATGAGGTTATCGATCAACGTTTGCAGCAACTGGGTTTTTTTGGAGGGGGGGGGCAGAGAGTTCTCCTGGGTTGCGTCTTGGCACATTCACACAGATGGGGCCTGGACACAGAGCTTCTTCTGCCTGGGATTCGACTGCTATTTAGTGCTCAATAAGGTTTTTTTAAAAAGTTTACATTTAATATAGCTGTTGGGTCTGGCCGGGGGGATAGCTTGGAAGAACACTGAATGTTTAATCTCTTATTTCACCTTCTGCACTTACTGAGTCTTAATGTCTCGTCGGTTAAGCATGGAAGGGCCAAGGGGCACCATTGTTGGGCTGTGCGGAGGGCATCAGTTGGCCTTAATCCGGCCCTGCACTGGGCCACCCAAATGAGTTCCCTGCCCTCCCCCGGCTCCATCCCTCCGTCTCCAGGAGTTCCCCAGCCTGTATCTGGCAACCCTGCCCCCCCAGCCCCCATTGGTGGCCGGGGGCGGGACCTGGAAACACTATTTCCAAACCAAAAAGGGGTGTGTGGCCTGGCGGGTTGACTTTTCTGCTTCTTGGACTGTGTTCACTCCCCAGCCATAGTGACACTTACGAGCAGGTCTTGGCTTTCCTTCTCCACGTCTCCTTTATACGCCAAAATCCTCTCTCTCTCCTTCTTCAGAATCTCCAGACAGGTGCAGAACTGATCCTGTGTGTGTGGGGAGCGGATCCAAAATTGAAATGTGTTACTTTTTAAAGGTTCACCCCATGCTCTTCTCTCATGCCCACTATTACACACACACACACACACACACACAGACATGGGCTGGATTTCTTGCACTGAAAACAATTATTTGTAGTCAACATATCACTGCCTTGTGTTAACACTCCAGCAATATATCCAGTACTGCCTACTGTAATAAGAAATGGCCAAAAGGACAGTGGCAGGGAACGGTGGTGAAAATGAATACTTTCCACACTTCCTCAAAAACCTCTTTTGATACCATCTTTAAAGAATGATCCAAAGCAGGTTTGAGAAAAACCTGCAGCAAATCCACGGAAAAACTGGGAAGGTGAATGGAAAACCCCCAACGGCGTGCCAAACTTAAATCCCCTGCAATCTAAGAGGGGGCTCTGCAGCAAGAATTCTGTGTAGAAGCAGCCGCAGTTGTGGGACGCCGGGGGGGGGGGATTCCTTGTAGTGCCACAGTGCAGTGGGAGGGCCGTGGCTCAGTGGGAGAGCCTCTGCTCGGTTAGCAGAAGGTCCCGGGTTCAGTCTCCCGGCATCTCCACTTGAAACGAAGAGGTATCAGTTGATGTGACAGGTCTCCACCTGAATCTCTGGAGAGCCACTGCTAGTCAGAGTGCACCTGGAGAGACCAAGGCAGAATAAGGCAGCTTCATGTGTGGCTCTCCCACCCCCCCAATACTGTTATTCTGATTTAAACTGCTACTTCACACCTACAGTTTACGAGGGAGGGAACACATACAGGTACCAAACCTGCACACGTTCTCCCCCAGATCCAAGGCAAACAGCAACTCCAGGACAACAACTGAAATCGGGAAAGCGGTTGGGGGGGGGGGAGGAATTAAAAGTGGGAGTCAGGCAGCTGCCCCTTCTACCTCACCCACACAATCGGCTGACTGGATGACCCCCCCCCTTTGAGTTCTCTCTCTCCTCTTCACCCCCTCCCACTTTGTAATCCCTTCCTTGGCAATGGGTGATTGCATCATCCCTGGGTTCTACTATATAATGATGTAATTCTAGCAGTTTGTAACATGACTACTACCTCTGATGGAAGTGACACACATCCTGACGAATGGGATATTCGCTACCAGGTTTGTTGGCTAATTTAAATAGTTTCTAGGCTAAAAATATTCTAAAATTAGACCACTTAAAAACTTTATTAATTGTATTTCTATTTTTATGTAGAATAATTTGGAGAATTTGCACAGATACTATCTATGGCCCACTATACAAACTTGTAGCAAACGCAAAGAATATAAGCTAATTTCTTATTATTTTTTAAATTATTATATATATTTACTATATACATTTGATATATAATAATCTGGCCTTTGTTTCTTTTTTTCAACAATTTCAGAAAGCAACAACTGGTCATATATATATATGTGATCTCATTTGCACCCTAATAAACATTTGTATATTTTTATATAATTTATTTGTTAGCTTGAACCTCTTAGATCACAACAGCCAGACAGGAAGTGACTCCATCTCCCCACATCACCTCACCTTGGCCTCAGCAGGGGGGCAGGAAGCAATGCCCCAAGGGAGACACCAAGCCGGGAGGGAGGCAGCAAAGTTGTCACTTCCCATTTGGGCCCAGAGGCCGGAGCAGAAACTGGAGAAAGTTTCCCTGCAAAGAGACCCACCAACCTCCACCTGTTGGATTTCTTACCTTGTACTCCTGGGAGGCCTCCTCAAGAGGAAGGGTTTCATGATTTCTGTGCTCCTTGGATCGGTCGCAGACCACACAGATGAGAGCTTGATCGTCCTTGCAGAAGAGTTTCAGCGGCTCCTGGTGCTTCTGGCAAACTCCCCCTTTTCCGGCTGTCCCGACGACCTGATGCCCAAAACAAAGAAACAAGATTTGTTTCATTTTTTTCTCCCCCAGGACTGTATATCTCTGTGTAATGGACAGGATATAGTTAGTGCCTTGTTCAGTTAAAAAATAACACACACACACACACACACATATATATATATTCATACACACACACAAGCTGGATGTAATGAAGTGTAAGCCTATGGGTATGGCTTTCATTTGGAGTTTGGGGAGGGGAAAGGTCTTTTGTCAGTGTGAGGGAGCCAGAGGGAAAGGTGCTGAGGAAAAGAGAGTTCTGAGGAGCAAAGGCAGGGAGAAGCCGTCTGAGTTGTGGTGCAGGGAAGGCCAAGAAGGAGCCTCTGGAGATCTGCAGCCTCACCAAGAGCACCACCACCACCACCACCGAGGGCCAGTCAAGCTGCAGCAGGAAAAGACTGAGGGGGAAAGACCTGCAGGATGCCTCAGAGACACACAGCAAAAGACTCTCATTGCATCTTTGGTTCCCCCTTTAAGTTAGGTTGCCTAGGAGTTTTCTATTCATGAACCGTGCTTGAATTCCACACTCGTCCATTTAGGATTAAACCCTACTTGTAGTTTAGGTTCTACTTGTAAATGGTTACCAGCAATTGTAGGGTCTGGGAGTTTTTGTTTACATACTGGCAGCCTACCTACTGGCCACCCCCC